GCCATCTCTAACTAGTACAAGTGCCCAGAGCTGCACAGAGAAACCCTGTCAAAAAAAAAAAAAAAAAAAAAAAAAAAAAAAAATGCACTTTTGAGATTTAAGCGCGGGGTAGGGGTTGGCGCCAAAATACAGTAACGGAAAGGTTCCTTTGTTTAACTGGTTTATTTCACGATGGCTGCCGTCCTCCATTTCATGGGGCCCATGCATAAATATTTATTTGACTTGAGGTTAAAACCGTGTAGGCTTGGTGCCCTGTGCGAGACAGCATCCTGGGGACCTCTCCCAGCGCTAGGCCCTGGTGCTCAGCCCTCCCTGCTCCCTCCTCTCTGGTCTAGCAGCTCAAGATGGGATTGGCTGGGGCGGGATTGCTCCCGCCAGAGCCAAGGACAGAGCTTGCAAGCCATGGTGTGGGTCACCAGGCACACCTTGCCGTCTGTGCTCTAAGTTCCCGTTGTGAAGAAGAGTGGTTGGGTGGTCTGCCCACTCCTGTCCGACCCCTGGTCCACCCTCTCTTGCTCACCAGGGCAACAGAAAAAAAACCCACCCACTCAGACTCACTCCCCCATCCCCTCAGCACCCCCGGCCCACCCCAAAATCCCAAGGCTCAGAGAGATCCAGCAGGATGGCAATAAGACAAATAAATGATCCTAAATTTTGCAAAGGTGTGTGTGTGTGTGTTCTTTATCCAGACAGTCTGATACAGTCCATTTAGGCATTTCTGTATTTCCTCCCCTTCTCTCCCCAGGTGGTGTCTTGGTTTGGAGGGGCTGTGGGATGATGCCAGTCTTTGAGGAAGTTGGGTGCTTCTGGAATCATCTGCTACTCTGGGGTGTAAGACACACGTACTTGTCTGTCAGATCAGGTGGGCCAGGGCCAGGTTGGTCAACACAAGAACTGAGGCATCCTCCCCTTCCCAGGCAGCTCCTTGGGTCTCAAAACTCTTGGTGCTGTGTCACACGGTGCCTTGAGTGAGTCCATCTTGGGTCCAGGCACCGCATTATCCTGGAGGGCAGAGGGTAGTTACTGCCTTCCCAGGCTTTAGAGAGCAAGGCTGTGACAGCTCTCAGCTCTGCCTCCCTGACCTAGACTTTCTTTCAAAAACCTCTCTCCACCCCCATCTTTACCCATCCCACCCACCCACCCCACCCGGCCTCCCCCATATCACCACCCAACCGACCATTTTTGTCTTGCTATTTCTCTGACATAAAAATCTATTGAGTTTGTTTAAGTTAGTTATCTGATGGACTTAGATGCTGGAAACCAATAGGGATATTTTGCTTTCTGTCCTGCCCCATTATCCTCTGAGACTGGGGTACCTAGCCTAAGGGTGTAGCGATTGCCTAACGCACACAAGAATCTGGGTTTGACACCCCTCTCCCAGCACTAAAGAGAAAGGGGAAGAAGAATAGCAGAAAATAAAAGACATAACGCTAATATCTTGAAAGTGTGATCCTGGGATAGCGCTGGGTACACAGTCTCCCCGCTATCCTGGAGGATGCTCTTCCAGGCAGTGACCAGGGGTCCAAACCCCTTCCATCTTGTGGCTCCACTGTATTCACCTGGGTTGGCCAGATCACTGCCAACCCAGATGAAGATACACAGATGCTCTGTCTGCTCCTAAGTGCATCACGGTCTCCCACCCTTCACTTCTGACAGCTCCCTACACTGCAAGAGGCTGGGCACTGTTTGGCTGTGTCTCCAAGGAAAAAGAAATGACTTTGAAACACATCCAAACAGCCTGCGCTGTCTGTCCTCTTTTTGAGAACTGAAAAGGGTGTTTGGGGTAAACAGAAAGCAGAGCTTAAGAAAGAGCCCGGTAGTAGACAAAGAAAGAAAATAGGCCAACCATATCTCATATGCAAAAGCATAGTGGCAGCATTAGCAAATTTAATTTAGTTCACGCAGTCTCCGCCTCTCCTGGGAGAGTCTCTTCCGCGGGATGATCTCTAAGCCCCTTCCAGAGGGCTACTCTCAAATTATATTTCCTGGGACCTCCCACTTAAAAGAGTAATTTGAAGAGAGTAACCAGGACCTGCATACAAAAGCCTTAAATATTGGGAAATCTATTAATAAAATCAATTCTATTGCAATTCTCAAGAGAAGAATTGCAATCGTGACAGATGTCAATGTGGCATTGAAAATTCCTACATTTATCCTTGTAGAAGATACTAGTGAGTTTGCTGGGCGTGGTGGTGCACAGCTTCCGTTCCTGCCCTGTGCGACGGTGATGTGAAGATGTCTGTGAGTTCCAGGCCAGCCAGAGCTACAAAGAGAGCCCCCCCCCAATATATACACGTATGTATGACTCAGAAGTATTTTATTAACATGTGTAAAAGAGTCTGAACCCAAGAGATAACATTAATACTCATGTCAAAGGTGTTCTTGCTAAACTTAGGGATGCGGCAGGCTTTCTGCTGTCCCTACAACCGCTTAGCATTGTTTGGGATGCACTAGCTAGTGTGAAAACGACAAATTAAATTTAAATTTTCTTTCTTCTTTCTTTTTTACACAATGGCAGATGCTGTGATCGTGTACTGTGAAAATTCAAGAGGATGGTTAATTTTGATGATTTGAATTTAATGTGATACTATGCAGTTTGCAGACGGGATGAAGTGGATTTGCATGCACGGACATGAGAAGTGGGGGATGACAGATGAAGTGACGCAACCGAGCTGCAGAGCAGCATGCCTCACAGGATGCAGCGTGTGCATGTGTGCGGTGGAGGGCAGGCAGGCTGTGGGAGGCCGTCACCGGAGCTCTGGAGACGAGAATGGCATGGGGTGGGGAAGCTGTTTGGAATTTTTAAAACATTTTTTTTATTCTCCATATTGCTTGTTTATATTGTCTTGTATGTTTTTTTTTTTCATTAAAACCACACACACACACACACACACACACACACACACACACACACACACACACACGGTTTTTGAGACAGGGTTTCTCTGTATAGTCTGGACTGTCTTGGAACTTGGTCTGTAGACCAGGCTGGCCCCGAACTCAGTGATCTGCCTGCCTCTGCCTCCTGAGTGTTGGAATGAAAGACGTGTGCTGTCCGGCCTGGCACAACTCTGCACTTCATCATGTCTGAGGATCCCACGATCCACCATCCTGTTTTCCATGACGGCTGCATCATTTTCTGTTCCCACAACTGGTGACAAAGTTCTCTGCATCCTTGACAAAACTCGGCATCTCTGCTTTTCCCCCTTTATGTCAGTCACTCTGATGGGGATGAGGTGACACCTCATTGCAAGACAGAGTCCCTTTTTTGTTATAATGGTAATGAATGAATCTGTTCAATTATCAGTTGTTTAAAAAATATAGAGATAATCAAAGCTCCATCCAATACCCCGTCTTGTGTAACAGAGGCGACCATGAACTCATCACACACTTACGTCCAGCGCTGTGGTGATGTGTAGAAGACCAACACTTGGTCTTTTTTTGTACAAGAATGTGCACCAGCTGGGTGGTGGTGGTGCATGCCTTTAATCCCAGCACTCGGGAGGCAGAGGCAGGTGGATCTCTGTGAGTTTGAGGCCAGCCTGGTCTACAAAGCGAGTTCCAGGAAAGGCGCAAAGTTACACAGAGAAACCCTGTCTCGAAAAACCAAAAAAAAAAAAAAAAAAAAAAGAGTGTGCACCAGGCTTTCTTTTGGGCCATCAACCAGCTCCCAAATCATGACACAGAGACTTCTTTATTGTTTGGTTGGTGTTTTGTTTTGTTTTGTTTTTCATGACAGCATTTCTCTGTGTAGCTTTGCGCCTCTCTTGGAACTCACTCTGTAGCCCAGGCTGGCCTCAAACTCACAGAGATCCTCCTGGCTCTGCCTCCCGAGTGCTGGGATTGAAGGCATGTGGTCTACACAGAGACTTTTTATTCGTTATGAATACTGGGCCTTATCTTTTGCTTGTCTCACTAGCTCTTATAACATAACCTGTTTCTCTTCAGTTACATCTTGCCTCGAGTTTTTGTCTTGCTTTTCCTTCTGTAGATCTTACTTGCACTGTGCCTGGCTTCCGGACCCAGGCCTGTCCTTCTCTTTCTCCCTCATTCTCTCCTCCCTCTTCTGCCTAGCCATTGGCCATTCAGCTTTTTATTAGACCAATCAGGTGCCTTAGGCAGGCAAGGGAAAACAGCAACACATCTTTACATAATTAAACCAATGCGGCACAAACAAATGTAACACACCTTTATGTAGTTAAAGAAACTACAACAACAAGTGTGTAGATTGTTCTCAATAAACAAATTCTGATTTATTGAGAAGAGTCTTGACCTCCCTTGTTATATGGAAAAGAAGTCTCATCTAAGGAGTAGAAGTTCAATCCCAGAGAATCAGAGGCGTCCTGAACAAAGGCCCTCTTCTTTATATAACAAACGGCATGGCAAATACGGTAACGGTAACAGCATGAAGTGTGGCTTGCTCCTCATCAACCGTTCACAGGAGTCTCACGAGGGAGAATGTGGTTTCTGGCCTTACTGACTCAGAACAGCACACAAGGCCACAATCAGATATCTTTCTCTACCCACATGATGCCCACAACATATCTGGGGGCGGGGCATTGTGGGATGGGGGAGCGTTCCTTTCAATGCCTACCTCATTTCAGCACATGGTCTTAGACCTGGTCACCACATCTCACAAACACCTACATTGGTCTAAGTCAGGAGCATGAATGGGCCACAAAGGAAGCCTAGGGAGCATGGTGCAGCTGAGGCTGTGGGTGCAGCTGAGGCCGTGGGTGCAGCTGAGCTTGTAGGAGTGAACTAGAGAAGTCCAGGGTGTAGCGAGGTGAGTTTCACTGTTTTCCTCAGAAGGTAGTTAATTCCGGGAGCTGGAGAGGTGGCTTGGTGGTTAAGAGTCCTTGTTGCTCTTCCAGAGGATCAGGGTTCAATTCTCAGCACCTACTTGGTGGCTCTGTAATTCCAGTTTTAGGGGACCTAACATCCTCTTCTGGCCTCCCCAAGCACTGGGCACGCATGTGGCGCACAGACATACATGCAGGAAAGCACGCATACATGTACTTAAAATAAAACTAATAAAGAAGTTAATTAATGCTGAATGGTTATGAGCAGACTGAGCACATGACTATAAATAACCCCAAAGCACATTGCTAACTTGGTTACAGGTTGGGTGAAAGTTTGATTTGTAAAAGGCAAACTTTAAAAAGCATCTCTCAGAAAAATCATTTCCACACAGTATTGGAATTCCTGGCCACTCCCCCAGCCACATGACTGCACATGCGCTGTCCAGTAGCCAAGCAAGGGGTTTAGTCATCCCGGGGTCTTACGTCCTATGTAATCCGTGTGCTGAGTGGTCACGTAATTTGCATGCAGCTTGATCGCATAATCTATGCGCATGCATGTGTAGCTGCGTAAGCCCATAAGCGCATGTGAGGGGGAATCCATAAAAAGTGGGTTACAGACTCCTCCCCCTCTTCTTCCTCTCCCTCCTTGCAGGACCATTCCCATAGGCCTAAGCACACTCCCCTCTGTTCCTTCTCTTTTTTTTTTTCCTTTTTTTTTTTTTAAAGATTTATTTATTTATTATGTATACAGCATATATGTCTGCAGGCCAGAAGAGGGCATCAGATCTCGTTACAGATGGTTGTGAGCCACCATGTGGTTGCTGGGAATTGAACTCAGGACCTCTGGAAGAGCAGTCAGTGCTCTTAACCTCTGAGTCATGTCTCCAGCCTATGTTCCTTCTCTTAATAAACTCTCAGAGTGGGTTTTTCCATACCTCGTGGCTTTTCTCCCACGGTAAACATCACTGCTTAATGAATAACATAGCACCGCATAATAATAACTCACACACAGTACCCGTGATGTGCCTGGTCCTCTCCTAGACTAGGAGGAAGTCTTGACCAGCCAGGAGGAACAAACGGCCCACAGGTTCTGGTGACTACACGTGGGGATAATATCTGCATGGGACTGCTCTTGCTACCACCATGAGTGACCGTGTGTGTGTGTGTGTGTGGGGGGGGATGGGGTAGGAGCCAGTCGGGGCCCACAGACCCTGGCAGCTCTCATCGACCCTTTCCTCCTGGTTATTGCTTCTCCCAATGAGGAGCCCTGTGAGTCCAAAGTCTGAAGCTTGGAAATAATCATTGGCTTTAAAACACAGAGTCCTCAACCACGGCCCAGAGAGGAGCTGTTCAGTAGGGTGCAGATGAGTGTAACATGCCAGCTTCATGAGTCGTTCCCCTCAGCATTCACACAGTGCTTCACACATTTCAGAGTAATCTGTAGATCTGATTCCTCACTTCTTCAGAATTCTTAACTATTCATAGATTTTTGTGGGGGAAAAAAGGAAAGCAAATTGTGAATTAAACGAGTTACTGAGACATGTAATTTCTAAAGCAGAATTATAAAAATCCTCTCATTTTCCCCCTCCAGAGTATTTTTCATGTTGATGAAGTGTGGTGTTTTAATCTGTTTGTTATGGCAACATTTAGGGCTTAGTTATGTTCCCTGGAGGACTGGGTGGTCTGAAGATGGGGGCTTCCATGGGCCAGAGAGATGGCTGTGAGCGACAGGTGTTTGCTGAGCTTGATTCTCAGGATGCTTATGAAAGTGGAAGGAGGGGGGAAGTGGTGGGGGGGACACTGTGGTCAGTAGGTAAAATAAATGAAAATCATGTTAGTTAAATTAAAAGAAAGTGGCCAGGCGGTGGTGGCGCACGCCTTTAATCCCAGCACTCGGGAGGCAGAGCCAGGCGGATCTTTGTGAGTTCGAGGCCAACCTGGTCTACAGAGTGAGATCCAGGAAAGGCGCAAAGCTACACAGAGAAACCCTGTCTCGTAAAACCAAAAAAACAAACAAACAAAAAAAAAAAAACCAAAAAAAAAAAAATTAAAAGAAAGTGGAAGGAGAGCCAACTCCTACAAGTTATTCTCTGACCTACACACACACACACACACACACACACACACACACACACACACACACACACATATTTTTAAATTAAAAAAATATTTGAAGATACTACCCTTGGTCCTAACCAAAAGGCTAAGAAGCAGGAAACTGAGACAAAGACTGGGAAGTGTGCCTCTTCACAGTGGACGGCTTCTGGCGGGGTGGGTTGGGGGAGGACTCAGTTATCTTTACGGGGCTGGCCACTGGGAGTTTGGCTGTGCTCCAGTGAGTATATGGGCAACACAAATTGGACTTGGTGTATTTTTTTTTCTTTTTTGGGGGGAGGGCACAAGGGAAGGAGGGGAGACCTGGGAGGAATGGGAAGCGAGTGTGATCAGGGTGCATTGTATGAAATTCCCAAATAATCAATACAAATAGTATGTTGGAAGAATTATTTTATGTGAAGGGTGTTTTGCTTGCACGTATGTCTGTGTACCATAAGCACAGTGCCCACTAAGGCCAGAACCCCTGGGACTGGAGTTCCAAAAGGTTGTGAGCTGCCACGTGGGTGCTGGGAACTGAACCTTTGTCCTCTGGAAGGGCAGCCAGTGCTCTAAACAGCTTAGCCATCTCTCCAGCCCCTAAACACAGTTTTATAGAGTTAGCGTTGTAGATGGTAGGTTATCATGCCAACTCCCCTCCCTGAAAACAGCTATCTTTTATTATTATTGTCATTTAAATCTTTGCAAATGACCAAAAAGTCACCAGTAACAAGATATAAAGCATCCACCGCCAGCCATCTTTTCACAGAATCGTTCTTTTATTTTATTTTTGGCAGCTTGCTGAGGCTGGGGATGCCAGGCCCACTCAGAGGCAGCTTCAAAGGCACTTCCAGGGACCAGATGAGGGGGGACCCCATTGTATTCATCTCATCAGCCGTGCTCACAGGCTGACCCTGGT